TGTAAATTATCTCATACTGACATTCAATTGGTTGGGGCACCAGTTAGTCGTGAGGAGATAAAGGAAGCTATGTTTAACTTTAAACCTTATAAAGCACCGGGTCCGGATGGTCTGCACCCTTATTTTTATCAAAGGTATTGGCCAGAACTTAGAGGGAAAGTTAGTCATTTTTGTGAAGAAATTTTCAACACTAATATTATTCCTGAAGAATTGAATAAAACCCTAGTTTGTTTAATACCAAAAATTAAACATCTCTCAACAATACAACAATTTCGACCTATTAGTCTTTGTAATACTTTGTATAAGCTTATCATCAAAATTATTGTTAATCATCTTAAGCCTATTGTCACTAAAATAATTGGACCTACACAAACTAGTTTTTAACAAGGAAAAAGGGCTTGAGATAATGCCATAATCGTGCAAGAAACTTTAAATTATCTTGCAAAAATGCAAGGTAAGTCTTCAGCCATGATCCTAAAGTTGGATTTGGAAAAGGCGTTTGATCGACTGGAATGATCTTTCATTAAACAAACTCTTCACTATTTTAATATACCAACTCCTATGATTTCTTTAATTATGTCGTGCATTACTACATCTTCTATATCAATCATCATTAATGGATCCAGAACTCAATATTTCTCACCAACTAGAGGAATAAGGCAAGGCGACCCATTATCGCCCTACTTATTTATAATATGTATGGAAATGTTATCACATAAGATTTCAATAGTTGCAGACTATCTTCAATGGCAACCTATCAAGATTTCTAAACAGGGACCAATACTTTCACATTTATTCTTCGCGGATGATATTATCCTGTTCTCAAAAGTTACTACTAAAAGCTGTCATGCAATTGTTGATGTATTAAATCAATTTATGCATCATTCGGGACAACAAATTAACTTTGATAAATCAAAAATTTACTTCTCCAAAAATTGCAAGCCAATAGATAAACAATTTGTCGTGGATTCCTTCAGTATCAAAGAGGGTAGATCATTTGGAAAATATTTAGGTTTCCCAATGTTCCAAGGAAAACCAAAAAAAGAGGATTTTTAATTCCTTCTGGATAACTTCAAAAATAGACTTACAGGATGGAAAACTAACTTCCTGACGATAGCAGGGAGAGCTACGCTCATCAAATCAACTTTAAATAACTTACCCAACCATATTATGCAATATATTAACATTTCAACTACGATTATTACTAAAATTAATCAATACCAGCGGAATTTTCTATGGGGTACCACTACTACAAGGAAAAAAATTCACCTTTTAAAATGGGATATCATCACTCCTTCAAAAGAGTTGGGAGGATTAGGTATTCAAAACCTTGAAATTAAAAGCGCAGCACTCCTTGCTAAGTTAGCTTGGAGAATCTTTAAATCACCTAAGGCATTATGGGCTCAGCTGCTCCTTAATAAATATTTAACTAGAAAAAAGGCCTTTAAATACTCTAGGATTTGGTCAAATATATTACAAGGATGGGAACAATGCCAAAATGGTTTAAAATGGAAAATTGGAATAGGCCAACACATTAATTTTTGGGATGACCCTTGGTTACATGCTGGAATTACCATTCGTTCCTTAATACAAGGGCCACTGCCTTCAAATCAGAAGAACATTAAAGTATCCTCTTTTCTAAACAAAGATGGTTGGGATTGAAAAAAAATACCTTTTGAATTACCTAAGGACATTACTCATCCAATACAACATATTTACATTTCACAAGTTCATAACAATCAGGACACTCCGTACTGGGGGTTAACACAAACAGGTACTTTCACATCTCATTCTATGTACCATAATTTGGCAAACAAAATCACAACATCACTAGCCGATCCTTCTAACTTTTTGTGGATATGGAAGCTTCCAATCCAGCCCAAGATAAAAACTTTTATTTGGCTTCTAGACCACGATAGACTACCCACTAAAGCTTATCTTATCAATATTCATTTAACACAAACTAACACCTGCACTTACTGCCAAGGTGCTGAAGAAAATATTAAACATATCTTTCTTCTTTGCGAAAATGCTACTGCCTATTGGGAGGAATTAGGGCTTTAAAATCTTCTTCTATATATACGAGGCATACAAAGTACTAAAAATTGGCTATATACCCTTATTAACTCTAAAGGACTAATCCTTCCTTACAATTTAAGCCCGAAAACATACTTGCCTATAAGCTTGTGGAACATTTGGTTAACGCGTAATAAGAATAATTTCAATTCATTAAAGGAAAGGGTTAACGTTTCATTAACAACCTACCAAGTGATATTAGGATATATAGATGATATTTACACCTTAATACTACTATGCTTTATTGTTGTTTTATAGGTAAATTGCCAACAAAATGCTCTAAATGGTGTTCTTTTGTTATACAAGGAATATTCTAAGTGAGGAAGCACCACAGAGTGTTTTGGAGGTAATAATGTAAAGAAAATGCCCACTCGAGAAGTACCCGAGCACAAAGAAGCGAGAAAATGGCCTGAGCAAATTCCACCGCGACCGCGACAGACTAAATCTCGAGGCAGAATGATCAGCTCCCACCGCGGTCGAGTCGTGGTCGAGCCGCGACCGCGGTGCACTGTTCACGCGTCAGAAATTTTTTGGACCAAAGTGTAAATTCGGGAAAACTTGTTCCAAACCCTTATAAGCTATAGAAACTCGCCCAAGATTGGATTAAGCTTATTTTTAGACTACTTTGGAGGCAAGAACAAGTGTGAGAAGATCAACCAAACATTAGAGTTTTTCTATATCTTTTATTTTCTTGCAATTACACATTATGAATAATTTAGTAGTTTCATCTTGTTTTGTCATGAGTAGCTAATTCCTTAGTCTAAGGTTTTGATGAAACCTATTAAAGGATGAACTTCTTATGATGTTAATATAGTTTGCCAGTTTAATCTCTATTTGTTCAACTACGTGTTTGTTGTAGTTAATTGACAAGATCCTCAATTAGTTGTGCCTATTTAGTGTGCATAACTCGAGAGAGAGTGCATATTTAGGTAATTATTGAACAACACCACTCCCAAAGTATATGAGGGATCAATAACTGCGGGTTTAAAGGCGGGATTAGGGATAACGACGCCTTGGGTGCAATCTAAAGTGAGCTGTAATAAACAAAGCCAACTAGCATATCTCGGGAGAGTGCGTCTAGTAAATTATTGTGATTACTCGGGAGAAATTTACGGTAATAGGAGTGCTCATGATTGATAGAGATGATTTGGTGAATCTATATGAAACATAACCGGAAGGGATTCCATCAATAAGGGAAATCATAACCTTAGAACCTTCTCTTAATTGTTTACAACTTAATCATAGTTAGTTTTCAGTTGCTTATTTACTTTCATTCTTAGTTAATAGAAATACCATCAATTGTTATTGACAACATTTGGGAAGTTGATTCCGGAGAATTTAGTAAGTCTAACGAAAATAATTGATAGGTTAATTTCTTGTGGGTTCGACTCTGGGCTAAATACTTAGATTATATTTGCAACGTCCGCGTGTCCTGTTTATAAGGTATTGTTGGACGTGATCAAATTTTGGCGTCGTTGCCGGGGAATTAACGGTGTTATCAATTACAATTGAAAGAAGTACAAAATTCTTAGTGTAGTCAGTTTTCTCTATACCCAATCTTTACATTGAAATTTTGACGTTTGTTGACTTGGTTGTACAGGTGCATGCCTAGAAATGCATCGAGAACTGGTGAAGTATTTGAAGCATTATCAGATCCCGAGAAAGTTTTCAAGCCCTTGAATCGGGCTAACCATAAAAGCAAACAACAACAAGTAACTGAACAAATCGAACCAGACATGGGGGACAACGTGGTAGACCCAGCAGTGCCAATAGCACCTGTGGCACCTCTTGTGACAGGGGCTGCTCTCTATGACTGGGCACAACCCACAACTAAAAATCCGGCCACTGCGATTGTAGTCTCGTAGATACAAGCTGAATCATTCCAAATCACGAATAACATGCTGCATTTGTTGCAAAACAAGGGACTATTTTCGGGGTCACAAGTCGAAGATCCTCAACAGCACTTGAAGAATTTCCTGTCAATCTGCAAAACCCAAAGGCAGCCCAACGTAACTCCGGAAGCAATCAAGCTGTTATTGTTTCCATTCTCAGTAACATGAGCTGCCCAGACCTGGCTAAACTCACTCCCCATAAATTCCATAACCACTTGGGAGGAGTTAGTCAAGCAATTCCATAACAAGTTTCACCCACCGAACAAGACTGCTCAACAAATTGATGAAATTTTGAGTTTTAAACAGAGACCAATGGAGACACTGCATGAAACATGGGAACGTTTCAAATGGATGCTATTTATATGTCCGCACCATGGTATTCCAGATCTGATGTTGGGGCAGCAGTTTTACATGGGATTGTCAGATAGCGTGAAGAACATTGTTGATGCTTCAGCTGGTAGAGCATTTTTTAGCAAAACATAGAGAGAAGGTCACAGTCTGCTTGATAAGATGGCGCAAAATTCGGGATGGACAACCAGGAATGCACCTATCACTCCAGTGGTTCACTTAGTGCCCTTAGATCCATCCAACTCTATGGCTGAAAATATGGCCACCTTATTGACACAGATGAGTATACTCACTAAAAAGGTGGAAGAGTCAGGGCAAAAACAGCAGGTACACATTATAGATACTACCAATGGGGGCTTGTGCACATCTTGCATTATTCAACCAATTGGTAACCAGTGGAATGCAGAACATGATCATCATCACTACCTTGAAGACATGAACTATGTGTCTAATTATAGAGGCCAGAGACAGGGTGGTCAGAATTGGGGCCAGCAAAATCAGCCGTACAGGCCAGGCCAACCACAGTTCAATAATGGGAACATGGGAGGTATGAGACCTCCTAATAATATGACACCTTATCCACGGTCACAGGGATATAACAATAAAAATCAGCAGCATGGGTATTACCCTCCTCAGCAGCAACATGGTGGACGACAGGAAGATGGGTTTGCTAGACTTGAGGCAATGATGCAGCAGGTTATTGGGTATAATGCAAAAATTAGTGAGAAAGTAGATGCACACGATTCATCTATCAAGAATATTGAAGTGCAAATGGGCCAAATTTCAATGTCTCTAAACAATCATCCTCATGGGACATTACCTGCAGACACTCAAATAAACCCCAAAGATCAAGGTCCGAAGCAGTTGATGGCAGTGAGTCTATGGAATGGCAGAGATTTAGACACAGAGAAAGAAAGGGCTCGAGAAATCAGACAGGCTGAGACTCTCATACCAGTGCCCATTGAGCTAGATGAGTCAATGAAACTGACAGAGGTGATAGTCCAACCTGCTCAGAAAGAACACAACATTTAGATTGAGACTAAGAAAGAAGCTGAGACAGCTCAGGAACAAGTAGTTAAGGTGGCAGCTGATAAATAGCAGTCCAAAATCATTTAGAAGAAGAGACCTCCTGCACCATTCCCTCAGAGGCTGGCTAAGCACCAGAAAGAGGAGCAGTATAAGAAATTCTTAGAGATGCTGAAACAAATCCAGGTAAATATTTCATTGATTGATGATTTGAAAGAGATGCCTAGGTATGCAAAAATGATGAAGGACTTGATGTCAAGAAAATTTGATTTCCAAGACTTGGCCACAGTTACTCTTACTCAGACCTGTAGTGCAATGGTGACTAGCCCAATTGCGGAAAAGCTGTCTGACCCAGGGAGCTTTACAATTCCATGCACTATTGGTAATTTTGCTTTTGCTAAGGCACTTTGTAATCTAGTAAGCACGTGATTTTTTCCTTATGAAAGAATTACTCCCAAAAAATTCAAAATAAAACGATTTTTCCTTGGTGTGCAATTTTTGAATTTTTGTGGTATTTTTGTATAATTATTTGTGTTTTTTGTCTGTGCATGTTTATTTGTTTAAAAAACTATAAAAAAATAAAATATGTCGCATTTTCGTTTAGTATTTATTTAAGTTTGTTTTACAAAAATGAGAAAATCATAAAAAAAAAATAATGTACGTTGCATTTTAGCATTTAACGTCTAAATTGTGCGATTTTATCGTTAATTGCTATTTAAATATGCGATAATAGTTATTTGGAATTAATTAGTATTTTTTGATAAGTTAATTTAGTTTATAACTTAATTTATAATTTTAGTTTTATTAATTAGAAAGTAGAAGAAAATAGAGCAAAAAATATAAAGAAAATCGGAATTGGGCCTCTTCTCCAAATTTCAAACCACAGGCCCAAAAAAATACCCAACCTTCCCGATGACCCGGTCCATTACAACACAGGTCGACCCGGTCTGCCCCATAACTAAACTATCCGCCCAACCCCCTCCCATTTTTCATTTTTTGTTGAAACCCAAACATAAGAAACCCTAAAACTACCCGCCCCCTCTCCTTCTTCTTCTTCTCCAAAAACACCCCAAGCTCCCCTCCCATGGCAGCCATGGCTGCTGCCCTTCCCCCTGTCCCTCACACCTCCAACACACTCACACACGCACAGCTCCTTCATCTTCTGTCTTTAATAAAAACGCAGTCAACCCTCCGTCGAACCCCACGTCGCCATAACCAACCAAACGACCACTCAGTTCACGTCCAAACGAACCCCATGGCTGCTGTTTTTGCTGCTTCTTCCGCCACCACTGTTGCTGCCCGTGCTTCTTCTTCTCCAAGATCACGTTGGTTGCTTTTTCTTCAAGATCTTTGCTGCATTCTTCACTGTCCGCCATGGCTGCATCTTCAAGCTCGTCCAAACAACCACGAGAGTTTCGTCGCACTGCTGCGCTGCTGCTTCATTGTTTCGTCGCTGCCCGTGTTTCTTCTTCTTCAAGATCGTTGCTGCTGCGTTTTCACTGTTCGCCATGGCTGCTGTCGCTGCTGATGCTTCATCTTCTTTTTCTTTCACCATGGTTGTTGTCGCAGCTATTGCTTCGTTGTCTTCAAGTCCGTTTATGTCAAGGTTTCGTTGGTTTCGTTTAAGTTCGTTCGAGTTCGTCGTTGGTCATTTATGGTCAGTTGTTCTAAGTTTTATTTCTTCCGTATTTTTGTTGGATATTTTTCGGATTTGAAATCAAATAGTTTGATATTAATTTCATGTTCATCGTTTTTTTTATCTTTCAGTTTGTTTTCATTCATTTTTCTTGTTTATTTTTAGGTAGAAATTGATTAGTTTAATTATAATGTTGTTAGATTTGAGTTGAAGATTCAATTAATTATTTTTCAGTTTGTTTTATTAATTTAAAAGGATTTAATTTTAATATAGAACAATGTTAGTTTAAATCGCTTGAATCCGTTCTTTGTTATTTAATTTAGATATAATTCATGTTCATTTTTTGTTTAAAGTTCATGTTAATTCAGTGATTTAATGTGAGTTTATGTTTTAGTTTTTAATTTTTTGATTTAGTTTGAATCATGTATCTTTGTTATAATTTGTTGGATTTAATTTAAAGATCAATTGATTATTTGAGTTTAGTGATTTGAATCTGTTTATTTATTTTGTTTAAAGTTTAATTTGAATTTGAGCTCATGCTTTGAATATATTTGTTTGTTATTGTTGGTGAATCTGAAAATAAGTTTGTTGTGTAAAAACATTGTTCAGTCAAAATAATTCAAGTTGTTTCTTTGTTGTTCATCATATAGTTTGAGTTTGTTCATAAAATCTGATTAGGAATTGGTTATAGCTGCTATATTTTGGTTAGAATTGATTAGTTGAACTTGTTATAGCTGACGGGGTAGATTGGTAAATTACAATGTTTTCAGGGTCAAAATGGTAATTTCAGTAAGGTCAGAGGGGTATTTTTGGAATTAAAATTCTGAACAATTATTTATTTTGAGTGCTTTGTACATTAAGATTAAAATAATATTANGCTTTTCTTTGTTCCTTTTATTGATTGTATTTAGGCTATTTCATGTATTACTGAATAATAATTGGAATAAGAGAAAATAACATAAGTTAGTCTTTAATGAATCAGTTTGGCAAAACGGGTTAATTCACTAGTTATGAAGGTTTTAAGATTATCAACAGTAGGTTAATCGTGAACAAGTAGCTAAATTTAGCTAAGGTATGAATTTAAACTGAATTTCATGAATTAGGCATTAAGGCACGATTTGAGTTTAAACAAGATTAGAAGAACGTTTAAGTTTAATAAACTTTCTAATAAGTATTAGTAATTATGGTTAAATCTAGTTTCAAATGGTTGTGAATAATTAATTTCAATAGTTTTTTTTATAACAATGCGAGTTTTAATCTAGCTATATTTGATTCTTTTGAATATTAGTTGTCGAATTTTTATTTTATTTATAATTTCGAATTTTTGAGTAAAATTCCTTTTCATCAATATTTGTATTAATCTAGCAATTAGTATGCCATGCTTTCTTAAATAAATAAATAAAAAAAGCTCGTAATTAATTAGGATTTTCTTTATTTATTTTAGAGATTAATTTTAATAGAAAAATGTAGCCGCTTTAAGATTTGTCCATTTAAAATAAATGAGACTAGTCTCGCCTAGTAAAATATGTAGATTGCGGGGCCCTCACAAATGTATGCATTAATTATTTAGAACATCGGAGTTGGCCGTCTAGTGAACTTTTACGGCCTTTCCCAAAACAACAATACGCTAGTCGCTCTAGGCGCGTCTTTAACAAATTATTTTCTTAAATATGGGTGTGAATTTATGTAACCCAAATTCAAATCTCAACGGAGTCGAAATATTTTGATAACCACGAGTGCATTGATTGCGACGTGGTTTGAAATACGTTTTCACAATGTTGCAATTCTCCGTAAAATAATAACAATAAAAGCGGCTAAAGGATAAAATTAGCACATAAGTTTATAATATGTATTATATCATATAATCAAGTCGAATATGACAATTGAGCGACCGTGCTAGAACCACGGAACTCGGGAATGCCTAACACCTTCTCCCGGGTTAACAGAATTCCTTATCCGGATTTCTGGTTCGCGGACTGTAATACAGAGTCATTCTTTTCCTCGATTCGGGATTAAAATGGTGACTTGGGACACCCTAAATATCCCAAGTGGCGACTCTAAAATAAACAAACAAATCCCGTTTCGATTGTCCTTTAATTGGAAAAACTCCTTCACCCCTCGCGGGGACGGAAAAAAGAGGTGTGACAAGGGCTAGCATTAACCTTATGCCCCTGGCGATTTATAAGAGGCTGGGGATTGGAAGAGCTAGACCCACCTCTATGTTGTTGCAGCTAGCTGACAGGACTGTAAAAAGACCCTCTGGTATCCTGGATTATGTGTTGATTCAGGTGGGGAAATTTGTGTTCCTTGCAGATTTTGTGATCTTGGACTACAAGGTGGATGAAGAAATTCTCATAATTTTGGGAAGGCCGTTCTTGGCCACTGGGAGAGCTCTCATTGATTGTAAGACTGGGGAGCTCAAGATGAGATTGAACGACGAAGAGATAACATTCAATGTGCAGAAATCTATGAGGCGACCAAGTGAATTTGCCAATTGCTCTCTTATTGATGCCGTGGATGTAATTGTCGAAACTGATGATGAGATGCTGACTATTGAGGACCCTCTTGCTACATGCCTGATGAATTTAGATGAGGTGAATGGAGAAGAACTGACATAATGGGTGTTGGCACTAGAGGGCAGAGGGTTCTGGGACAGAACTCTTGAATTTGAGCCCTTGCACTTAGAAAATATAGAAACTCCTCCAGCCAAGCCATCCATCGAAGAACCCCCAAAGCTGGAGTTGAAGCCACTGCCCGCCCATCTCAGGTATGAGTTCCTTGGACCTGAATCTACATTACCTGTTATTATCTCATCTAGTTTGTTAGATGTGCAGGCACAACAACTCTTGCTGGTACTCAAGGAGTGTAAGACTACCATTAGGTGGACCATGTCAGACATAAAGGGGATTAGCCCTGCCTACTGTATGCATAAAATTCTGCTGGAAAAGAGCCACAAACCTTCCAAGGAACACCAAAGAAGGCTCAACCCCAACATGAAGGAAGTGGTGAAGAAAGAAGTGATAAAGTGGTTAGATGCGGGAATCATTTTCCCAATCTCTGATATCAGCTAGGTTAGTCTGGTTCAATGTGTGCCTAAAAAGGGTGGCATAACGGTAGTCAAAAATTATAATAATGAACTGATCTTGACGAGAACCGTCACGGGCTGGAGAATTTGCATGGACTACATAAAGTTAAATTTGGCCACCCAGAAGGACCACTTCCCATTTCCCTTCATTGGTCAGATGATAGACAGACTGGTAGGGAGGTCACACTTCTGTTTTCTGGATGTGTATTCATGTTACAATCATATCTCCATTGCACTTGAGGATAGAGAAAAGACCTCTTTCACTTGCCCATATGGCATTAATGACTTCCGGAGGATGCCATTTGTCCTATGCAATGCACCCGCCACATTACAAAGGTGCATGATGGCCATATTCACTAACATGGTAGAAGACATAATGGAGGTATTCATGGATGATTTCTCAGTGGTGGGAAATTAATTCGATGAGTGCCTAATAAATATGACGTGTGTGCTAAAAAGGTGTATTGAGACTAACCTGGTTCTTAATTGGGAGAAGTGCCATTTCATGGTACAAGAGGGCATAGTCTTGGAGCACCGGGTGTCAAACAAAAGAATTGAGGTGGATCGTGCTAAAGTGGATGTGATAGCAAAGCTGCCCCCTCCAACTTCAGTCAAAGAAATCAGGAGCTTTCTCGGGCATGCCGGTTTCTACCGGAGATTCATAAGAGACTTCTCAAAAATTGCCAACCCTCTCTGTAAGTTGTTAGA